GAGAGGATTGACTACAATTTTGAAAGAAGTTCTGTGAGTAAAATGCTGTCAAACAGCGTCTCATACTACAGAGAAATCGTTCATGAAAGGAAGAGTCAATCAATGCAGCAAACTTCATTCTTGTCTTAGTTTAAGAAATTGACACGGCCACCTCAACCTTCAGCAACCATGGCCTTGATCAGTCAGCAGCCAACACTGAGCAGCCTTCAGTTCTGAATGACAACTTTGCCAGGTCGAGTATTCTTAGTTGGAAGTTTTTTTTTCCCCAGCACTTTGAATATATTGTGCCACTTCTTTCTGGCCTGCATAGTTTCTGCTAATAGTCTTATGGGGGTTCCCTTGTACATAACAAGTTGTTTTTCTCTTGCTGCTTTTAAGATTCTCTCCTTGTCTTTAACTTTTGGCATTTTAATTATAATATGTCTTGGTGTGGGACTCTTTGAGTTCTTCTTATTTGGAACTCTCTGGGCTTCCTGGATCTAGATGTCTCTTCCCTTCCTCAAGTTAGGGAAGTTTTCAGCCATTATTTCTTCAAATAGGTTTTCTGCCCTTTTCTCTATATCTGCTCCTTCTGGAACTCTGACAATGTGAATGTTGGTCTGCTTGATGTTGTCCCATAGTCACTTAAGGTATCTTCACTTTTTTTCATTCTTTTTTTTCCTGAGGAAGATTTGGCCTGAGCTAACATCTGTGTCACTCTTCCTCTGTTTTGTATGTGGGTCGCTGCCATAGCATGGCTGCCGACAAGTGGTGTAGGTCCATGCACAGGAACTGAACCCAAGCTACTGAAGTGGAGTGCACTGAACTTAACCACCAGGCCATGGGCCTGGCCCTGATTCTGTTTTCTTTTTGCCACTCTTTATGGGTGAGCTCCACTGCCCTGTCTTCAAGTTCACCGGTCCTTTCTTCTTCTTCTTCATCTAGTCTACCCCTCTATTGAAGCTTTCTAGTGTATTTTCAGTCCAGTTATTGTATTCTTCAGCTCTGTGACATCTATTTGGTACTTTCTTATATTTTCTCTCTGTTTGTTGAAGTTCTCACTGTGTTCATCCATTCTTTTCCCAAGCTTGGTGAGTATCTTTATGACTGTTATTTTGAACTCTTCTCAGTTAAATTACTTATATCATTTCATTAAGGACTTTTTCTGAGGTTTCATCTTGTTCTTTCTTTTGGAACATATTGCTCTGTTTCTTCATTTTCCTTGACTCTCTGTGTTGGTTTCTGTTCATAAGATAAACAGTTGCTCCCGGTCTCACCTCTCCCAGTCTTCAGGGAACAGCCTCATGTAGGAGATGAACCTTACTGTTCAACCCTGCCCTAGCTCGTGGTTGTCTCAGACCTTTTTGATTGTCTAAGCAGCCTATTTAATTTTTAGCGGCTCCCAGTAGTTGAGGGTTTGCCAAGACCTGTCAGTGTCCCAGAGAGGAAGATCTCAGTCAGTACCTAGATTCAGGCTGATTGGAAGCCAGAGCCTCAGGAAGCAGCTTTTACAGTATGCCAATATATGTAGTCCTCTGGGAATGCAAGGATAAGTCCCACTGGCCACCACAGCTGGGTGACCTAGAAGTGTCCTATGGGTGGCAGTCACAAAAATCGGGGTGTCCGATGATTGTACAAGCTCCTTTCTGGGAGACACTGGTGACCTGGTGAGAGGCAGATGCAGAGCACCAAGGTGGCATCCACTGGCCTCTGTCCCTGGAGAGCACTTCAGTAGGCCTTAGATGTGTGCCAAACTTGAAGCCTGCCCCTCAGGCTGATTCTCCAAGACAAGCAAATAGGCTTCTTTCACAGATGACTGGGGATGTGTTTCATTCTGTGTCTGTGCCGTGGCCTGGGGGTGGTAGCCAGCCAAGAACTGTCTGTCCATTTGTTACACAACCATGGGACCCAGGAATGCAAACCCTACTTGCCACCAGAGCCGGGTGATCAAGGCATCCCCTGGGCGGCAGCTGCAAAAACCTGGGGACCAGACCCGCGTAGAAGCTCCCCTCTGGGAGAAACTAGCACTCTGGAGTGTGGCAGAGGGAGAACGGAAGGATAGCGCCTGCCCTCTAAGGTTTCTGGAAAGCATTTGGTCAGCCCTTAGGTCTGTGTTTGGTTAGAAGCCTACCCCTCAGACCCCAGCTATGAAGATAAGCTAATAGGCCTCTTTCACAGAGAGACTGGGCTTCTGGGTCTGTTGTCCCCTGGGGATGGTAGCCAGTTAAGAGCTCTTTCTCCATTGGTTGCAGTCCTGTGGGACCCATGAGCATATGCCCTGCTGGCCACCAGAGCTAGGTGATCTAGAAATGTCCCCTGGGGGCAGATGCAAAAATCGGGGTGCCAGATGAGGGGATAACCTCCTTTCTGGGAGACACCAGTGAGCCGAGAGAGGCAGAGGGAGTGGGCAAAGATGGTGTGGACCGGCCTCTGTTCTGTAAGAGCACCACTGTAGGCCCTTAGATGTGTGCCAAACCAGAAGCCTGCTACTCAGGTGCCAAGACAAGTAAATAGGCCTTTTTCTTAGAAAGACTGGGGGTGTGTTTTGTCTGCACAGTGTCCTGGTGGTGGTGGCTGGCCGAGAACCCTCTCTCTGACTCTTACAGTCCTGAGGGACCCAGGAACACAAGCCCTGCCAACCCCGGAGCCAGTGATTAAGGGGTATTCCCGGGGCAGCAGCTGTGAAAATCAGGGCACCAGACTCATGTAAGAGCTCCCCTCCAGGAGGTACTGGGGCTCTGGAGGGAGCCGGGGGTGGGGGTGCCAAGATGGCGCTCAGTGGCCTCTGTCCCCAGAGTACCCAACAGGCCCCTAGATGTGTGTTAAATTAGATGCCTCCCCTCAGGCTGACTTTAAGACAGCAAATACGCCTCTTTTGCAAGAAGTCTAGTCACTTATCAAATGACTGCCTCTGCACTGGGCCCCGGGGTGGGTGAATTGTGGGGAGCCCTTTAGGGGCCGGTTCTCTATGTGCTACAGCCTGTGGGGCTCCTGTCCACCAGCCTCATTGGGTTTCAAAGCTAGATGTTTGGGGGCTCATCTCTCCAGTGCAGGTCTTAAAAGTTGGGGTGCCTGATGTGGGGTTCCAACCCTTTGCTCCACAGGGAGAAGCTCTGGGTTTGAGTTCCCTCTCTTGAGTCCCTTGGGGTCACTGTGCCGAGGGTGGGGTTTATGGTGAGATTGTGTCTCAGCCTTTCCTGCCTGCTTTGATGTGTTTTTTCTTGTTGGCCCGCTGCGTAGGAGTCGCTCAGGTAGTTTTTGGTTTGTTTCAAAGGAAATTGTTCCATATGCAGCTGTAGATTTGGTGCATCCATGGGAGGAGGTGGATTCAGAACCTTCCCACGTCGCCATCTTGAACTGGCCTCCTTGTGCTTAACTTGTGTAAAGCCCTTCAGTCTCAGAATCTGGCCTGGCTCCTGGAATACTTCTTCCACCACTTTGTGACCTTAAGCATGAACTCTCCGGGTCTCATTTGTAAACAGAGTCAGAATACAGAAGAACAATCAAAGTAAATCATTTCAATTTAAGAAACAGTGAACAAGCCTCTTCTATGATTTAGGCACTGCTAGGTACTGAGGAGGAGAAAAATCATCCTCACCCTTTGGGAAATTAGAGTCAAGTAGTAAAATTAGTTGGTAAGCAGATGCGGTACTTTCATCCCTGTGTCCCTAGCAGCACGCTCAAAATAGTGCATGACCATCTGAGGAACGTGGAACTAAAGTATTTCCAAGAATAAGGGATGATGAGGAGGAGGAGGAGGACCTGGGACTCAGGAGCCCCCTGAAAAGTGAGGGGATGGAAGCAGGAACAGGTGAGATGACTTGACAGTGGCTCAGCCAGGACTCCTTCATGTCCCGGGTGACTTTGTCCCTGACCTTCCAACACCATGATCTTTCCACTAGGCCACATATACTCACTGTTTTCATCTTCCTGATTTGCCATAAGGGCCTGCTTGAGAATTTGTTGAAAACTGTGGACCTCTCTGTAGGCAAATGCACACAAGATTTACATGGAATTGTAGGGGGTTCTCTGGCAGGATCATCCCCCAGCGCTGCCCCAGCCTCCTCCCAGCCTCCTTCTCTTGGGAACGGACCACATTTCATTGTGCTTTGCTGGGTCACAGCCTCAGCGACACACCACCATTTATAAATAAGGCTGCTGATGAATGCAGGAGAGAGAGTGAGTTCCTAAGTGGTCCGAGAGGTGACTGTTTTCTCTTTTGCCTTTTCAGCTCAAAGGTTGTATCCTGAGGCATTGGGGCCTTTTAGGAATTGCACCTCTTTTAGCCTGGGAGGTATTTAAAATCCATTTCGAATAACACTGACCTGGATTTCCTTCTCCTGGGGCTTGGGCAGGGCCCTCTGCAAGGACCCCCAGCCTCACACAGCTCTGCACCAACTCCTCTTCCCATTGGTGGCCTTGTGTCAAGTTAGCGGTGGGCCAGGGAGCCCTACACAGTCCTGAGTCAGAGGTCTGTTGTGCCACCCCTCGATCAGTCCACATCACATTTTTCTCCTCAAAATGACTTGTGACCTGGATAGAACCCTTTATAGTTTACTCAGTCCTCTGATACATGCAAAAAAAATAATCTCTGGTCGGTCAAATGAAGAAACATGCCCAGAGAGGTGTCCCCAAGGTCATGCCCCAAGTATGTAGTGGGGCTCGAACATAGCTCTTGTCACCAAGTCCCGGGTTCTTTCTGCTTGTCCCTGCTGATTCGCTTTTCCCTGAGTCCGTACAGTGCTTCCTGGTCAGCAGATTGAATGTGAAGGAATATCCTCTGCTGAACACAGAGCTGGTTCCCTGGTTGCAACATCTATTTTCTAAAAGGCCTTTGCTGCCTGTTCAGCATCCCTCGTTCATTCATTCGACAGTTGCCGAGTGTATCCTCTGCTGGCTGATGGGAGAGCACCAAAGTATGAATTAGGTACAATCCAGGGGCGGGCTCTGTGCCCATGGATGCTCTGTTCCCATGGATGCTTGTTTTTTCTTTGACAGTGACTGATTTTTGTCTCTTGCAGAAATGCCAGATAATGCAGCAGCTCTCCTGGGCACTTGCTGTAAGCTCCAGATTATTCCTGCGCTGTGCCACTTGGTAAGGAACCTCCCAGATGGGACCTGGGGATGGGCAGGAATGGGCAAATGAGGAGATGGACACCTAATAGCTGATGAAACACCCCTAGGCTTTCTCATCCTCAAAAGCCCTTCAAAGTAGGTTAAAGAGGTATTACTATGAACTCCACTTTTTTACACTCTCCCCCACACCACACGCCCCAGGAAGACGGAGGCCCCGAGGGAGAGGGTTTGTTTGAGAACTTGCTAGCAGGACTGGGGCTCCAGCTTTGTCTTCAGACTCTCACTCTCAGGATCTCCCATTGTTTGGAGAGAACTTTGGCCCAGGTTTGGTGCCGCGTTGCAGGGAAGGGGCCTAGCACGTGTTATTTGCGGTGGCAGCTCTGTGGCTGGACCAGTTGGGTTCAGCTCTGCATCTAACTGACCAGGGAGGCATTCAGCAGGACTGCTGTGTCTCGGAGAGACCTTTCATTCTTCATGCCCTCGGGAAATGTCATGGTGAGAGCCAGAGTTAGGTAATGATGAGTTTAGCCCTCTGAGAGTCCAGGTTAAACTTTTCTTTTTAAATTACAAATTGGGTCATTACTAGAAGGCGTCATCAATAGGCTGCCCAGAAACCGCTCTAATGAGGCAGCTCCTCTAATTTGGCTTCTGTGGGTGTTGCTCAGCCTGGGGCAGAGTAGCAGAGCCTACCTGGCTGGATTATTTTAAGGTCTGGTTACTAAGGGCCAAGGGCAGCATGCTGTGTAGCCCCGAAGGACCAAAGCTCAGAGCTCTGCTCCCAGATCTCGGAAGCAGATATTGGGGTAGACTGCCCAGATAGGGACCCTGACATTTGTTACACACCACTCTGGGCATGTCCAACGGTTAGTCCTTTGGTACTTCTGTGCACAGCAAAGGCCTCGGAAGACTGCAGCAAGGCATCCTTCCAAGGAGCAGCTTAGATGTCATGCCCCACCGAAGCAGACTCTGCCCACCCAGAGGAATGCTGTGTTCTTGTACTTTGACAACAACAACTGTACTACTTGAGAACGTGCCAGCATGTGTGTCCCGAGGCCAGCTGAGGGGAAAGCTGCTGGAAGAGTTTGGTTATAGAAACAAGACGTATCATTATCTAATTGTCTGCGGTGATGAGCACATAGTAGCTCTGCTTTCAGAGCCCAGCTCCCTTTTGCAGCCACTGTGTCCTTAGCATTTCCCAAGCTAGCCCTTACCACGTTGTTACAAAGTCGTCAACTGCATTCCGGAAGTATATAAAAAAATACTGCCAAGACTACGTTAGCTGACACCCTCTCCACAAACTCAGCTGAGTTGTCTTCTTCCCTGCAGATCAGCTCGAGGATTTGATCTTTGTGTTGTTTCCACCTTTCGCTCTGTTGGTGTTCTAAGAGTAGCCATTAGAACACACTTGAAGGTCCAGAATGGCTTGTATTCTACTTTGGCACAAAACTACCCCCCCATAGAGTCATTTATTTGCCTTTGGGGGCTGTTCCACATAGACAAAGAAATAATTTCTCCTTAAAGAACTTTCTGGGTGTCTTCGCGTCATCTTCCCTAGATATTGCAACGACTCTTCTTCAGTCAGTGAGGCTCCTGCCTCCTGAAGGGATTTGGGTAGCATGTGTTTCTTACAGACACTTCCTTAGAACAGGCTACAAAGATCTACCTGCGTTCCTGTCGTGTCTTGTCTGGTGGTCAGAGTAACTTTTGAGAGGCTTTCTGAAGGGCTTTTTGGAGAATAACGTCAGATATACTAACACATTTACCAAACTCTAAGAAGGTGAGTTGGAATCATCCGTAGAGAATGTTAATTTGCACCCCCTCTCCCCACCCCTTGGGTGACTGTAATCTCTTTTATACCTAGAAGTGCCTCTGGGTACTTGGGGCTGGCAGCTGTTCAGCAGAGGCTGGATGCTGCTGAGCGCTTCTCCACACCCAGGACACAGCCCGCAGTGCTGCGGTGCTGTTGGCAGTCTTCAGCCTGCGCCAGTGGAACTCATTCTTAAGTGGCTGGGATGCGGTGTTTGTGCTTGAAGAGCAGCCTCATCCACTCTCCACAGCATAACCCGTGGTTCACAGTCTGGGCCAAATGGTGACATTACGCCTGCGGTTACACTGTGTGAGCTGTCAGTGAGGGCTGCCCTTCAGCCATGGGGCAAGCTGCGGATTACTTTCAGTAAGGTTACCATTGCTCAGAACATTTCTGGAATTCTTTTGGATTCCCTTCAGATTCAGTTAGAATTCACACATGCTTTATAAGCTTATTTCATTTTTTAAATTTTACTCTCTACATTATCAATCTGATCCATTTCTGAAGGCCTGTTTAAAAATCAAATCTACTGGCCAATTTGTAATTACTAAAGATTAAAAAACAGTAAGTGTCACAGGCACTGATCAAGACCCTAAAAGCCAAGTTTCCAATGTTCTGAGCAGTTGCAATTAGAGCAGCGTCTGAAGCGACCTCGCTGAAGAACTTCCTTTCCACACACGGAGGGTCTGTGTTCCAGGCAGGACAAGGTGACCGTGGCAGACCTGGTTCCTGCCCTCCTGAGCAGCTTAGGTTTTAGTAAACAGACTGCAGAGTGAACATCAAGAAGATCATTTCAGCCGGAGTAAGCATATGAAGACACTGTCAAAATGTAATAGTGGCTGGCTACGGGGGAGGGAGGGGCTCGACAGAGAGGGGATTAGGACAGGCCCTTTTGATGTGGCATTTCCACTGACAACTGAGAGATGAGAAGGAAAGGTGTGTAGGAAACCCTGGCGGGAGAGGACGCCAGGCTGAAGAGATAGCAAGGACGAAGTTTCCTGAGGCAGGAAGCAGGACTAACTAAACCACTGGACCGACCCGACCCCCTTTGAGAAGTTCGCCCAAAGATGTAAGAAATTCTAATACCTTCATTAAAATAAAAAATCAGACCACCTTACTGTGTGAATGAGAAAGTTACATTCTGACATTTCTAATCTGCTGGAGTTGGTGGATGTAGTAGAAGGTAGGGTTCAGAGAGGGGGGTTCAGACAGAGGACTCCGGGCAGTTTGGAAAAATCAGGCCTGAGGTCTGGACCTAGGTCAAGTATGTCTTGTTACATCTTAAGGGTTTTCCTGCTCCATTGGGGGAATTTAAAACAACTTAATTTTTTTTCATAATTAGCTAGAAGTGCATTACTATCTAACCATGTGGATTTTGTGTAACATTTTAAGTGAATTTGTTGAAATGTGTCATTGCAGCTGCATGCTATGTCTCATGATGGAGTATGTGATCTCGAAGACCCAGCCTTGGCTCCTCTGAAAGATACAGAAAGGTTTGGGGTTGCGCAGCGTCTGTTTGCCTCGGCCGACATTAACCTGGAGAGAGTGCAGTCGTCCGTGAAAGCCGTCACCCCCCTGAAAGACCCTAGCGTTCTCCCGCTCATTCTTTACATAAGCCTGAAGGGACTCTGTGCTTTAGGCAGAGAGCATTAATAATGTCGTATTGTGACTTACACGTTATCGGCCAAGGCTGAGTATTTTTCAGTATCGTTAAGATACTCCTTTGTGGCTTAGGTCAGATCCATGTTAAAAGTTGATCAAGGAAATGAATTTGCAAACCAGTTTAAGAAGTGGTGACTTTTTTTCACTATGAATCACCTCGAGTTTAGCCACTGGGTCCTCTGCAAACAGTCTTTTTCTCCCAAGGACCCTCCTGTGCTGGTGACTCAGTGCCCCAGTTGGACTCCAGCACCTGGAAAGCTGGAGGAGGGCTGAGAATTCTAAAGCCCTTTTTTTCTGCAGAAAAATGGGTCCATCTATCACTTTTTTATATTTCCCACTTTCTGTTATACAAAAACAGATGAGTCTGACACTTTGATCCAAAAATTCGTTTTAAATTGTGAATGCTGTGGGAAGGCAATTTCTCTTTCTAGAAGAGGCTGTAGTGATTGAAAAATGACCTTTAAGTGCCCCTGGAATACATATATTCTTCTACTAAACAAAATTATACTAAAATAATCTTCCTTCCTTAGGGGTCTAGCTATACTCATTTTATTTGACTTTGCCATGCTTTGATGAACATAGTAATTCTCTGTCTAGAACAGTGTGCTGATTTCTCATGCATTCTGGATGTTTAATTTGTAAAAGACTACCTATTGTAACACGGGCAACTCTGAACTGTGTCTATTTTGCTTTTTATTCTGTTTGGACATCCTTCTACTAAAATGGCCCAGACTGTCTCCCGAGTGCCCCTGATTCCATTGCTGATATCCACCAGGGACCTGCGGCCCCTTCCGCGTACCCTTAGCAAAAAGCAGCTGATCTTCCTGCTAGAGTTTGTCTTCCTTCGGGAGCAGGGAGGCAGCAGGGACGAGCAGGAGCCGTTGATGGAGAAACATGTCACTTAGCACATGTTTTTACCTCAACATCATCTACTTACTCCCTTTCTACCCTTCAGATTTTAATGAACGTTAACAAGGAAGAAATGAAGTAAATAATCCTTTCATCATCTCTATTAAAAGTGAGAGTAATCTTACGCAAATACTTATGACACACGAGAAAAAAAGGATACAGAGCTGTACACTGTGGGGGCAACAACATAAAAAATAAGCACCTTGGGGCCGGCCCGGTGGCGCAGCGGTTAAGTTCGCACGTTCCGCTTCTCGGCAGCCCGGGGTTCGCTGGTTCGGATCCCGGGTGCGGACATGGCACTGCTTGGCAGCCATGCTGTGGTAGGCGTCCCACGTATAAACTAGAGGAAGATGAGCACGGATGTTAGCTCAGAGCCAGGCTTCCTCAGCAAAAAGAGGAGGACTGGCAGTAGTTAGCTGAGGGCTAATCTTCCTCAAAAGAAAACAAACAAACAAACAAAAAACAAAATAAGCACCTTATACACAAGCTGGACAGGAATATGCAAAAGTGAAAATAGTCGTGCTAAAATGGCAGCACTATACATGTCTTTTTCTCTGTTTTTCTGAAATAAGTATAAAGAGCAAACTGCAGAGAGAATGTGTCATATGAATCTACTTGTGTAAAAAATAGATATCCGTGTATCACAGTGCATGGGAAGCTTGAAGAGTTCACAGGAAACCCATAGTGGCTCCTTTGGGGAGAGGAGTTACAAATTGGGGACAAGAGGCGGAGGGGTGGCTGGTAACCCTTTTATTCCTGGTAGAGTTTTGTATATATTTTATCCTCTAAAATTAAAACAAAATACCAAAAACTAAAGATAGACTTGAGACAGAAAGAAAAGGTGCCATTCCATCAAGTGCTGAAAGTTTGGGTTACAGGGACCAGGCAACCAAGGCCTTTGGCTGTTTCCACAACTGCCCTGAGACCGGCCAGTTAGCCTGTTGGGTTTTGTTGTAAAAAATAGCTATTGAAAAGGACAGAGCTATGTGCTCCAGGTGTTCCCAGCCCCTCATTACTGCCGGGCTTCTTAAGAGACCCCACTCAGGTGTGGTGGCTGAAGAAGTGCTGGGTGTGCTTCAGTGAGGGTCACTTTGGGCCTCCAAAAGGTTCTTCCAACTGCTATCCTCTTTATTACATATTGGTAATTTTAAATGTTCCTTTATTTACTGCTTGAGATCAAGAACCATACTTTTTAAAATAGATTTGGAATAATTAGTTCTAGTAGCCAAGGGTCACCTAGAAAACAGATAGTAAATAAACTAACATTTCCTGGAATAGAACAGGACACCCACCTTGACCCTGATGTTTCCACGACCATTTCGCTTTCATCAATGGATGCAGGAAGAAAAACTGATATTAGCTAGTGTAGCATGGCCCGATAATGGCCCCTGAAAGGTGTCCCTGACCTAAGAATCCCTGGAACCTAAGAACATGTTACCTTACACGGCAAAAGGGGACTTTACAGGTGTTAAGGCTATGGACCTTGCGATAGACAGCTTGGCCTGGATTCTCTGGGTGGGCCCTTAAAAGAAAGAAGGCAGAGTCAGTGAGAGAGAGACCTGGCCAAAGAAAATGCGGGAAAGAGGAGGCATGAGATGGATTCACTGCTGTTGCTGGCTTAGGACAGAGGTCAGTTCAAGGACAAGAGGGCAGTCCCTCTGACAGCAAGAAGTGGGGACTTCACTTCTCCAACTGCATGGACCTGAGGTCTGCCAACCTGCAAGAGCCTGGGAGCGATTCCCCTCTAGACCTTCAGATTAGAGCCAGGGCAGGCCCTGGGAGCCATCTTGGTTTTAGCCTGGTGAGACCAGTGTTGGATTTCAGACCTACAGAACTAAGTTTGTGTTTTAAGCTGCTAAATTTGTGGTAATTTGCTACTGCAGTGACAGAGAACTGACAGGTAGTGTAAGATGGAAGAAGGTACTGTATAACACCTAATTCTTTTGGAGACATCAGAAATACACCAGACTAGCAATTTCTGAAGTACGAGGTATGGAATCCCAGAAACTAGCTTGGAAAAGAGTTGCAAAGTACTTTTTCTGGAAAGTCTTCCTGCACTCATCCAGTCATGCCTCCATCTCTGCTTGGCCTGGCGGGTCCACCCCCTCCTCCCTACAGGCCTCAGGGCTGAGCTGCGTGCGCCAGCAGGCGTTGTCTTTCCCACCAGGGTTTCTCTTTCTTGGCTAGCTGGGAAATGGTCCTAGCATCACATGCCATCTAACTGGTCACAGAGGCCTTTTCTTGATCCTCTGTTTTAATCTTCCCTGTCTCTGAAATTCTTTCCTTGAGTATGTTGTCTTTGAAAGCCACCGAATTGCTTGGGCTGGGGTCAAGGAAACAATAGTTAGGGTTTCCGTGTTAAAGAAGAGAGGCAGGTGAAAAATGCATTACTTTGCTGGGAAAAACTAAAGAACATGAAGGTTTTTATGAAGATTATTAGCATTTAAAACAAATTACCAAAGCTAATCTGATATCCCCTGTATTTTATTATCTCTAAACCTTATTTCTACCTAGAAATGAAACACTACATTTTTCCAATATTAAATATTTATTTATTTATATATACAAAAATATTTGACCATGAGTATGCAATCCCACAGATTGAACATTTCAGTTTTTATTTTGGACAGCACATGGAAATACGTGAAAAGAAAAATTTATAGGGACCGTTTCTGAAAAATCAATCATGATCGTACTGCAGGAAAGTTTCATTTATACAAGGACAGCAGTAATGTTTCTTTTACACAGGAACTAGCAATACAATTACTTGGAAAGCAGCAGCAATTAATTTTTACTTTCAAACTTTTTCATCAGAAACTTACTTTAGTAGCTTGTTCAGCTTGGATTTTTAGGTGCTAACAAGCATTTTGCCCTCCATCAAAAAAACACAAAAATCTCTCCTACAATTACTTCAAAGACTAGAGGTTAAAAAGAGCATGCATTTGTGTTCAAAATAAAGATATACCAAAATGAAATGGGAAAAAATCCCCCAAAGCAAGGTTTTCACATCCAACACTCATCATGGGCTGTGACAGAGCCCGACGTAACTGGCAGGAAATTACACTTGGTGAGGAACCCTGACGCTCCTTCTTCTACAGCGAGTCCTTCTACCACTTCCTTAAAAATCGTCACCGAAGAAACAGGAGTCACTCCTTTTTTAAAAGAGGACACATGGCCAAAAGAAATGTTTATATTGTATTTCAATTACAGATGGAGATGAGCTATTCCTCAAATCTGGTTCTACCTGAAAAGACTAAGGCATTTCTCATTTGGACCATGTTGACCAGAACAAGGTTCATGTCTTCAAAGCAATGTTATTTATACTACTGCCCGCCTCTCCTATTTAATAAGATGAAAACCATTGGTAACGACTTCTGGTTTAATGTAGGTAATTTATGACTGAGGAGTTTTTAGTGCTATGCTCTTTTCTCCTCTTCCTCCAAGCTCCCAAACCTCCTTGACTGATATGAGGAAAGCCAAAGTTCAAGCACGACCTGTCATATTTAATGTTTCTACCCTTGGCTTGCTGTTGCCAAAGTGTGATAAAAACGTCTCTTTCTAATTTTTCAAATAAGACCTTTCGGCTTCTACTTTGTGGTACTGACACTGCCTGTTCAGTGGGACTCAAGACAGGTTTACAAGCACCGAGTCACTTAATCTCCCAAGTTACAAGCGGCATTTGCGTTAACCGTACACGTGTTCCTTCAGTTTGTGCTGGAGATTAGAAAACAGTAAAAGCTAGTAGGGAAAAAAAGAACCAACTGTGGCTTCTGACTGACTTTGGTGTGTGCAGGCGACATTTATGATGGCACTGCATTATCAGTCAATGGCTGCGAAGCACTCAGAAAAAGAAACTAGGTGCATTCTTGTCAGATTTGAGGTCCACTAAGTGGACCTAACTGAATGTTTCTCCCTATGAGCAGACGGATGCCTTTTACACTTAGTACTGTGGGTTAAACAGGGCTGTGGTGATAAATTTCAGCCCTAAGAATCAGGTAAGGCAGCCTGTAGGGGCAAAAGAGGAGAGGGTCTTCGGATGTGAGAGAGTACTGGATTGCTTAAATTTTGTTTGTGAGTGGTCTGGCTGGCGGCAAGGATTTGCTAAGGGTTTGGACTTAGAATGGGATTCTAAACTAAAATGGTCCTCTTGACCAGGGCCACCAAGAGAGCAGAAGAGACCCTCTTCCAGGCTGGAACTACGGCCTCGGAGCTGTTTTAAAATTGGAGGCAGGATCCCTGAATGGTGTGCACCATTCACTATGTTACTTCCGAAAGAGGCACACTTTAAAAGAACTAAGAGATAAGCAACCTCAATAGAAGCAGATACATATAACTAACAAAGTAGCCTAATAAGGATTTTCCAATTTAGCATTTGCCACATCAGAGTTACAATTACTTCTTGTAATTTAAGGTGAAGAAAAATATTAAGTTAGCCTTATTTAAACAAGTTGAATATTAAAAGTAAAGGGAGATATAAATTTTATCAAAGATCACACGGTCAGGAGTCAGAATTAGGATCAGCCAGTAGAAATACACCATCTCTATTTTTATCAAAAGAGACTATTTTAAAGAAAGTTGTGCAGTGCATTGCAGAATTGGTACAAATCATGCTTTTAAATTCTTACCTTAGCAACAAGGTATCATCATTCCTTCACTTTTTAGTATATTAAGGACTCATTTTTGAGTCTGTGCACTAAATCATTCCAGGAACACAGAAAGTAACATGATAAATTGTGGGAAATATTTAAATATGAATAAAACTTGAACCTAACAAAAATGCATTTTAAAAATAATCTTACCTTAAAAAATTATATAATTATCTTCCTCAAATATACAATGTATACTTACATAAAAACAGATATGATGCTGAACCATTAGTGAATTGTATTCTTCAAAGTTTGTGAATATTCACGTGTACTATATACAATAATCCTATTATTTAAAATACCGAATTTCTCAAAATACATTATAGATGTTATTCTACGAATTCTCACAGCAAATCCATTGAAGCAAGAGGAGGGCAGGTACCATAATCTGTGAGCCTGAACCAGATCATAAATTCATTCAAAGGGGCTTCCACCTAGGGCTCTGTGCTTTTTCCTTAAGGAAATTAAGTTATAATGATAATTTTCGGAGCTTAATTCCTCACATATTTTTTAGAAAGGAGATTAGTATCTGCCTCAAGGCAAAACAAGAGCCTTTTAAAACAATGTGAAAAAAGTTTCAGAATGTCTAAGAATTTGGGAATAATGAAAAATTTAAGAACACTAGTTATAATTACATGGGAGAACATATGCAGTTTTATTATTTATGTATTTTGGAAGAATTTTACATATTATACACATAGCTGTATATATATATTATATATGATGACTCAAACATTTAAAAAATGGGACCTACTATCTATATACATAAAACTTCAGGATTGTTTTTTCCATATTTAGTATAAAGATTCATTACTACAAAATTATTGGCTCTCTAGCCTGTGATTTCCAGAAGTCGTAAAAGTACAATGTTAAATAGATCACTATTTTAACCAATTTTCAAAACTTTTATGTTCAATGTTTACCAACTCTGAGTAATTGTACCTTAACTCTATGGCTATCCATCTTGAAAATCAACCCCAATCACTGGATCATGGCACCTGCTGTTATACGTAAAAATAAATACTAATTTAATGAACTTTTAAAGCAAAGATCATCTTTTATTGTCATTGGGATATTATGGGCAAAGCAGTTAGTATCTGGCCATAATCTATAATGCTATACTATTGTACTTTATTGCTAATTTGCATTATTTTCTAAATTTCTATTAATACCAATTTGCTCTTTTAAAGAAAACTTGTCCTTATAAGCTATTATAACTAAGTTCACTAGATTCTAGGGTTCAGGCTACTATTGCTGTAGTCATACTGGGTTTATGGTACGATTTCTATTTTTGAAGGCTATGTTCAGCAATTGTATGGTTAGAGTTGGCAAAAGTAAACAAAGTCCTGATGTATTGGATATTTGATACTATCCAAATATCAGACAGGAGTTGAGACCACATAACCAAGGCCTGGCCGTAATAAGAGTGAGATTCTACTTGTAGTGCATCACATACATTTCACTAGTTACAGTTAAGTGACTTATGCAGGACAACAACTCTATGGGTATTTGTACATTTGAAAACGAAAAACACATACATAATATTTAGCTGTTATCTAAACAGTCATGCCCTGAATGCTGGATGTGGATACTCACCTGTCCACAAGAACCCTCAGATGCTTTAATGTATTGGCACATCGCGTCCCCCAAAAGCATACGCACGTGCATTTGTATTTTAACTATTACCAATTACTCAACATCACTGTCAACCATTTCCTCTTTGGTAAAGCTAATTGTCTTAGACCTTTCCCACAAGGGAAGCTCGCACTTCCTTCATCACAACCACACTCTCATTGCCTTGGGAGAATCCTGGGCTTGCCCCAGCAGAGCTCTGCTGGTTCCTGCAGACTCAGATGGGACTTGAGTTTCAAGTTCAATGACTACTGTATTGAGATGCAATGAACTTTTCTGAATTTATTCTCTTCAGTTCTGGCATCTAGACTGAAATGAACTAAAGTGCATTGTTTCATTTTATATTAGGAGGGATTTAGTGTGTATTAAGTACTTAGTCATGAATACCATTTATAATAGAAATAATTCCTTTAAGTGTAACTATTTTCTAAATAATATGCATTTATACCACATAAGGCTGAAAATATGTATGATGTAAAAATCGCCTCTCTTGTGTCCTGATGGGTGAAGTACATCTTGTGCTGCTGTAATGATCCTAAAGCCGGTCACAGAGGCTCCACGCAGCAGCATGAAGGCACACTGTGGGGACAGCACACTTCTGAGACTGTGGAAATAAGATTGCTCTTAAAATTTACAGTGTGTTGAAACACTGAGTCACAAGACATCACCTTGACACTGTGCTTTGATTCACATTGCTTTGAGAAGCCAAGAATTTCATGGAAATATATGGGGTTTAAAAGTTACCAAAGTTATTAAGAGAGTATGATCTATTTTGCCACCAATTTCCTACAAAGAACATGAATTTGTGTTCTGGATATGAAATTCTGTAATAAAAAAAATACCTATAGATTTCCAATCTTAACAATTCAGCAACTCGGGTGTTTTGTTTCACTGAGCAAAAGACTTAAGACACTGTGTGCGTGCTGCTTATGGCCACGTATTTCCTCCTCCCTCCAAGTCCTCCAGGCTGGCTTCCAAGAGACAGCATCGGTGAGGGGAAAACAAATGCAGCAGCCAAGTGTCTGCTGCCCACCACCAGACAAGAATGACGACGATAGTTAAGCACCTAACCCTTTAAGTGTGAATACTGTTTATGTGAAAAGCTAGCAGCAAAATATGGCTAATTTAGTTAATTCAGAGCTGCATCTCTGAATACGTTTTAGGAAGAACTTATACCATCCACGAATCCTAAAGGAAGGTATCAACTGAGATGAATTTTGGAAATTTGTACATGTTAATACATCTAAAGGAGGAGAACTGGTTTCCTAATCATTAAATAAAAAGTGCACTTCCTAACAGAAATGTAAAAAAAATATAAAACATTATTTAATATATATTATATAATACATACACTGTACATATTATATAATGTATATATTATATATAGATAAAACAGCTGACAATTATTTCCCAATTTCTTAAATCGTTCACCGGATTTGGTTCTCAACACAACAATTCAAACATACACCCTCATGATCACATCACACTTCAAAAAGCACACTGATTGTTCACAAAACCCCCAATTGCAAACTTAGAAGCATTTTTTTAAGTGTTGCAGAAATCTGCAGAGGCATGATATATTTGCTGACCATATCCTAATAGAAAAATGTAAAAAACAGTAGGTTCATTTTTGTCACTTAAACTTTCACAGGTGAAAATAAGTCGACTTTGAGTGTCATTCTGCTGTGCCGTCGTACAGGATAAGGCACTCTCGCAGCCTGCGTGGCCCTGCCTGCTGTGCACGTTCACTCAGCATCAGCTGTCACTATGGCGAACGAGAGTGCAAAGTATTGCTCTTCCTTTTCCCACTAAAGATAGAAACAAAGGGAAACCACCAATCTATCTGTATAAATTAGAATGATAGCCACACATCTCTGAAATAACAGACCATGCAGCACTGAGCAGACTCTGATGTGAGATTGGGATGGTAGTAGATTGGCTATAGCACTGACATTCAAGTTCTGCTTCTGTAACGAACCATATCGGGAAAGAAGGCCAATATCTACTATTTCCTCCTAATAAGAGTAGCTGACCCTTCACTAGTGAAATACTGAACTGAACGACAGCTTTACAAAACGATTTCAAGTATTCATTATCACAGTGAAAATGTGAGACCAATGTTAGAGTGAGTGATTTGAAAATTCCTTTGATGAAAAAGGCAAGGGTACTAAATCAAAACATATACAAAATGCTTCAACGCATTTCTTTATGTGATATGAATAGAAAGATTGTTCATAAAAAGTTAGAAAAATTAAGATAAATTATATTTTAGTACACCTTCCCAACCACACTTTATATAAAAATTCAGAATAGTGTACTGGTATTTCAATCTACACAATAAAAATGCCTGGGTTCGGCAAATATCTTCTGTCTGTGCACGTATTTTCTTAGTAGAAGGTTTATTTGTTGCAGTCACTTTTTAAAAGTTTTATTTGAATTGTGAACCTTATCGAATCATCAGTAAACCCAGCTGATGGGAACCCACTGTGGCTCCGTTCGCAGTTTCTCTGTGGCAGTTTGTAGTTTCTCAAAGGCCTTGTCTAGGTTGTCGTTTACGATGATCAAATCAAAATAGTGGTTGTATGCTCTCTGAATCCGTGCACTTTCGTCCACTGTTTTCTTCAAGTCCGAGTCCTGTCACAGAGTTTTAAAATGAAGTATTTCTATCACAATGGATATTTACTTACTCAAACCCCAACTCAAAGTGAACATAAGAAATAAGCAGACTGGATATTTATTTATTGTGCTTTTGATATTAATCCTCAAAAACCTAATCTGTATGGAGGGTTATATCATCTGTTGACATCCTAGTCTTTCCAGCTGTGTTCTTGTTTGCATTTATGAGCATTCTGTATCTTCGCTTTCGTTGGTATTAGGATAATATTCCTAATCAAAAGACTGCTGACAATAATCTTAAGGTGAAATCTAAGATAATAAAAGAATTATTGCAGGTGACTGGTTTCCAGCCCAGCTATACCATCCTTTTCAAAAGATTTTTATCTTATGGGCTCTGTAAATCATGGGACCTAATTTTCATTGGGTATTAAGCTCAATGCCAAATTTGCTGTCCATCTCCAAGAAAGAGAATCTTAGAAATATATTTTGAAGACTAACCCTACATGCTCCCCACTCCTACCAATACACATACACACTTTATTTAGCTAGCATTGTTTATATTTCATAAAATATTTCTAGTTGTTTTGGAAGGATGTGAGGGAATAAATAAGAAATGGGTTCTGCATGAGCAAATAAAGCTTTTCATTAAATTCCAAGTGTTTTGAAATTTTCACAATACTTCTACATGTTTTTCAAACATTTATTGAATTCCTATTAAAGTGTCTACTATGTTTAATAATCTGTGGATATAACAATGAATAAGACAGAGTGAGGGGCCGGCCCGGTGGCGCAGCGATTAAGTTCACACGTTCTGCTTCAGCGGCCCGGGGTTCGCCGGTTCGGATCCCAGGTGCAGACATGGCACCTCTTGGCACGCCATGCTGTGGTAGGTGTCCCATATATAAAGTAGAGGAAGATGGGCACGGATGTTAGCTCAGGGCCAAGCTTCCTCAGCAAAAAAGGAGGACTGGCAGTAGTTAGCTCAGGGCTAATCTTCTTCTTCTTCTTCAAAAAAAAAAGACAGAGTGGGTTCCTACCCTCTAGTGGAGGAGACAGATAAAGGGCAAATAAACACACAAACTTGCAGGTTGTAACATGTACTATAAAAGAAACCAATCAGGAACAAAGAAGTTTAAGAGATCTAACTTTAGAGAGAGTGATTACAAAGACACTAGGTAAACGACATTTAAACTGAGAACTACAGTGGGAGAAAGAGGATTCCAGGCAAAGGAAACAGCAATGCAGAATTCAGGAGGGAAATGACCCTGAGGTGTTTAAGATACTGAAAGAAGACCAGGATGGACGGAGAGTTGGTGCAGGAGGTAGTAAGTTGAGATGAGTGTGGGCTAGGTCACGGAGGACCTAGATACAGTGGAAAGACATCTCTGGATCATGCTGGTGGCAGCGGTGATGGAAAAGACGCTAGACTGCAAATCTATTTTGGTGATAAAATCATCAGGGTTAGCTGAGGGGTTGGCTGTGAGGAGTGAGGAAATGAATGAATCAAAGATAGCTCTTGGGTTTCCAGTAAATGGGTGGTTGTATAAGATGCAGAGTTGTGGGGTGGGGAGAACCTGATTCTTTTTGGGGAAAAAAATGTTCTACTTTGTACATGTTCAGTTTAAGACGTCTGTGAGACATCCCAGTGGAGATGTAAAGAAACAGGTGATTGGCTATGCAAGTCAGAGCCCTGAGGTCTGGGTTATCTATCTATACTGTACATAAATTAAGAATTATCAGTATAACAATGGTACATAAGCTAATGAATTTGGTAAAAATACCAAAAGGGAAAGTATAGAGAAAGAAATGAGTTCGCAACTAGGTCTGAGGGATTCTAATACAATTTAGTCAGTACTTTCACTGAGATCTCTAGAGAAGTTTGAAACAACTAAAATATCTTTTATTATAAATGAGTAAACAGGCCACAACTCAAAGTGAAAACAACTCTTACCTATTATAGTCAATAGCAATCTGGCTTGTTAAAAGAAAAACGAAACCAGTTTTTTTGACAATAACAGTCCTGTAACAATAATGCAATAACCATACAGATGGAAAAAAGAATAAAGAATCTCTCTCGACATGTCCGTAGAGTGATCTCCAGAATACACTGGGAAGTGAAAAATCCGGGCAGACTACTATATGTAATAAGCTACCTTTTATGTAAGAAATGGAGGAGGGAGGAGACACATACATCCTTGCTTATATTAAAAAAAGTAGTGAGGGCTGCCTCGTGGCCAAGTGGTTAAGTTTGCGCACTCTACTTCGACAGCCCAGGATTTCACTGGTTCGGATCCTGGGCGTGGACCTGGCACCACTCATCAGGCCATGTTGAGGCAGCGTCCCACATGCTACAACTAGAAGGACCCACAACTAAAATATACTACTATGTACTGTGGGGATTTGGGGAGAAAAAGCAGAGAGGGGGAAAAGAAAAAAAAAGAAGATTGGCACCTGAGCTAACAACTGTTGCCAATCTAATAAAAAAATAAATTAAAAAAAGTAGTGAAAATGGCTCCCTATGTGGGTGGGAAGGAATAGAGTGGAGAAGACAGAGAAAAGCTAGATGTTTTTGTTTTTAAGATTTACTTTGGAACTATGAAAATGTATAGAATTATACAAGAAAATTAAATTCAAATTAAAAAAAGACCAATACCTAAAAGTCAAAAACAAAAGGAAATAAACCTGTGTTTCAAGTTGATGGCTTAACCACGCAGAAAGGAATTATTTCAGTGACTTTAAAATAAAATAATTTAATACTCAGTGCGATATATCTTAAGAACAATTTTTTAAAAAGTCTTAACCCTAAAACTTTTCAATAATCACATTGTTAATATTGATATTATTACTTAGAAATTGTACATATAGTGTGTGCTTGGTTTATATATGTAAAGTAAGGATTTATGTTAATGTTATCAGGAACCGAGATTTTCAGCATCAGAGAAAAAAAGTCAGATATAAAGTCAAAGAAGTTAAGTAAAAATAATGTATATTTGAATTGGAACAATTAAATTGAACTAATGATGTATGTTTTCCAAAAAAGGAAAATGTCTTTCCTACCCCTGGCCACTGAAAGGCCTAGAAAGAATGACCAACTAAGCTGAATGCACAACTTTAACACCTACATTATCTCTAGATACCATTTCCCACTAAAAGGAACCAGGGCCGTTGGATGGCTGGTTCCAGGTCTGGGCCAAGAAACAGGTAAGGACAACCTTGTCGTACCGGGAAGCAGAGACTCATCAAAGATTACTGGGGTTGTGTTAAAACGACTCAGAAGACAAGTTGAACAGGCTCCTACTAGCTGAAGATAGGACAATTTAAACATCAAAGAGTAATAACTGACCTAAGTACACAGAGAGGAAGTATTCCAAGTGACTTTAAAACACCAGATTTGCCTGTATAGACTTACTGGGATAAACCCTAAGGTTAAAAAAAAAAATAAGGAAGAAAACAGTTTGCAGCAATCACATCTAGTCGTGTGGGTGGACTCACTCGCACCGTTGTGTGTGTACTGCTGCATAAGCAGAGGAGCAGTTATGTGATGTTCTAACATTCCCAGTGTTTCTGAGAACTGAGATACTCCACATAGAAGAATGAAGTTATAACATAAAAGAGGTTAAATAAAAACCCGGTATCCTGAATTTGATTGGGAAGTATCAGTAAGAATTCATGACACGGTTCCTTCAAACGTATAAGCAGAAAAGCATATATCCTTGTGCTTTGTTTACCTGAAAGCTGTAGCTAGAAACGACGATCAACCTTGGGACAGTGTGCATCCCTAGTGTTACAGTCTTAAAATACCATTTACCCTAAAAGGAACCAGAGTGTCTGGGAGAAAGAGCTGCTTCCTGGCCTGGAATAGGAAAGGTGCAGTGCAGCCAGGAACATTTGTCACACCAGGTAGTAAGGGAGCCATCCAAGACCATTAGGCTCATGAAATAAGGTCTCCAGGGCCAACTTGAATAAGCTCCAATTGGTCAGAGATGGGACAATTTGAGTATCCATAAGAATAATAACTACAATAGAGTAAAACACAGTAAGTTTAAATCCATGTGTTCATGATGAAACCAAAATACAAAGAAAACAAACCTCATCCGGTCACCTGTCACCTCTAGAGGCTCTTAGGGAACAAACCCATTATTCTGAAAATTGACCTATAAAGGGAAAGTATCAAGCATATATCCTGACTTCCCTATATGAACTCTACTTAGGGGCAATGAACTAGTTGATAAAGAAAAGTTATTTTTGGGGAAGAAATCTAGTTTATAAATGCAGAAAGAAGCACAAACTTAAAATATTACCACTTTAAAATCGCTAAAAAGCAGCTGATCCAGGTGAAGTTCAATAAAATTTGCTAAAATCATTAGGTGAAAAGCTACTAGGGAACTTAGAGATCAGGCTAACATCATCTGAACCCACTGATGAATTTTATCACAATAAGAGAGACAGCCTTTCATATGCCTCATCATGTAACAAAACAAGAAGTACCACTAATCAGTCATTCTTTTTTAAAAACTTTAAAAAATTTTATTAATTTATTTATTGGAGGAAAATTGGTCCTGAGCTAACATCCACTGCCAATCCTCCTCTTTTTGCTGAGGAAGACTGGCCCTGAGCTAACATCCACGCCCATCTTCCTCTATTTTATATGTGGGATGCTGCCACAGCATGGCTTGATGAGCAGTGCCAGGTCCATGCCTGGGATCCGAACCAGGGAACCCCAGGCTGCCAAAGCAGAGCACGCGAACTTAACCACTATGCCATGAGGCTGGTCCCCCACTAATCAGTCATTCTTGAAAAAAAAAATTGAACCTGCATCTGATCAAGCCTCTATCAGTTCACAGGAAATACAAGGAATAGAGGAAAATGACAGAATTGGTAAAATCCAGACATGGAACTCTCTACAGGATAAACGACCCAAGTTCCTGAACAATTAAATTAGAAGGTTAAGAGAGAGAGGAGGGAGGGAAGCAGTGAGAATTTAACAGAGTAAAAGAGACTAAAGGGATGCCTGCTTCCAGATAAGATGTAATAACAGGAATCAGAGTAACCCTCCTGCCTGACAATGAAAACAGACAAACATATGGAACAACAATTTTTCAGACATTGTACATTAGGCAACAAAAGACAGAGATCTCCAAGAGACAGGAAACAAATGAAGTGAGCCCTATGAATGCCCCAGCTCACTGGCTTGAAACAGTCTCTAGGCTGCAGCACATGAGCCAGAGCCCAGGTAGAGCCTACTGAACTTTCTAAGTTGGGACAGAGTTAAGAGCCCACGGAGACCAAGGTGGCAAAAGTTCACAGGACATAGCACCGGAATGGAAAAGTAGCAGGGAGAGAGAACTTCGGAGACCTGAAGAAGGTCCCCTTCCAGCATTCAGCTGAGTACCAATCAGGGCACGTGTATGACTACCCGAGGCCACTGAAGAACCACCAGAGAGAAAGAGAGGTATTCATCCCGAGCCAGGAACAGTACCTATTCCCACCAGGCAGAACAGAACCTCATGGCGCACAGGCCGTTTGGGAGGGTGCTCAAATGGTCTTGCCTCAGTAGTGGAGAATAGCTGCCTCTAGAATGAGAACTGCTCTGGTCTAACCTAACAAATGTTAAAAGCGAGGCCTGAAAGAAACAAACTATTTCCAAATAACTGCATCCTAGAACAAATCTCACAATGTCCAGCATCCAATAAAAAATTACCAGGATTGCCAAGAAGCAGGAAAATACAACCCATAATGAGGAGCGAAGTCATTCAAGCAAAACTGATCCAGAACTGACACAAATGTGAGAATTAGATGGTGACATGAAAATACTTATTATAACTATATTTCAGATATTGAAAAAGTTAAGTAGAGACACGGAGCAACCTGAAAAAGAACAAAGATGACTAACACTACCTGATTTCAAGGCTTATCAGCTACAATGTGGGCAGAGGAGGAAGGAGCAGGAGGGAGGGATTCTGACGGGGCAAAGGAAACCTTTGGAGGTGACAGCAGGTCCATTATCTTGATTCCAATGGCTTCATGCCTGTATAGACCTGCTCAAACTAACTTATCATATTGTACACTTTCAATATGTACAGTTTATTGTATGTCAATTATACCTCAATTAAGCTGAAGAAAAAAAAGAGATTTAGAAGATACCAAGTAAATGCAATGTGTTGATCTTGTTTGGATCCTAATTTGAACACATCAACTGCAAAAAAAAAAATTATAAATCTTGGGGAAAATACAATATAGACTGAATATTGATGATATTAAGAAGTTGCTCTTATTAATTTTTTATGTGTTAATGGGGTTAGGGTTATGTTTAAAAAGTTTTTATCTTTTAGCGATAAATACTAAAGTATTTATGGTTGATATGATATCAAATATTTGCTCCAAAGTAATTCAAGGTAAGAGAGGAAGTGAGGAGAGGTCAAACTGAAATAAAAATGGCTTCGTATTATTGAAACTAGGTAATGAGCACATGGGAGTTCATTTTCTCCCTCTTTTGTATATATTTAAAATTTTCCATAATATAAAAAAAAGTAACCCTACCAGCAGTCAACCATATGATGAACATGCTTGTTAATGGTCTTGGGACCCAGTTTCCTCATCAGTAAAATAAAGGGTCTGGATTAACATGCATATTTCAATACTGGCCCATTTCATTTACATAGGAGCAGTAAACTTTTGCTTTAAAATAAAGCGCACAATAACTTTTATGGAAAAGTAATACTGTTCCAAATTATAACTATCTCTAGGGAATGAATTTTTATTCTATAATACCTTATATAGTATATTTATTTCATAAATATGATTAAAGTTAAACACGCCTAAAAGAAAAGGAAGAGGAAAAATTTTAGGAGGAAAACAATATCGTTAGCCTGAAAAGACCTGCTTACCGTCAAAAGCTTGGTAGTGATACCAGCATCCACCACAGCCTTGTGCATGGCACGTAATGTCTCTAGTTCTGGAGCAGCAATAAATACAACATAGGGCATGAACTCAGATGTCCTCAGCACTTTCAGGGCCTGTGTAGAGAACAATTACAAACCAATTGACATAGCATCAGAATCTGAACTGTTCCCCTTTAATCTATACTAAATACTAAATAAAGCTTATCCGCCCTCTTCCTAAGGATTAAGGATGTAATTTAATACTTGCCCCCCTTCTATCCTTTGGATACCATACAATACCTTCCTAAAATAATGAACCACTAACCGTATTCTGCCCTCTGTCTCACTACTCTTTGATCTTCTTGAACATAGTATTAAACTTAATGATTCAAAAAATCATCAAGAATGATGTAAACACTATCTATGTTAATTGTAGAATTCTGTTAATATTGAAAACGCAGAAATACTCTCAGTGTCTATTAAATAGAGTGGTTACATAAATTAATATACATCTGTACTAGGAAATAATATGCAACAATTACAAAGAACAAAAAAAGCTCTACGGTAACTGACAAGAAAAGATCTTTAAGAAATACTGTTTAACGAAAGAGAGCTAAAGAATCTGGATAGAATGTTTCCCTTTATGTAAAAAAGAAACAACAAAAATAGAAAACCTATTAGATTTAATGTAAATATTTGTATTTAAGGCACACTAAAATGACAGATAGATAAACACCAAACACCAAAACAATAATACGTATCTCTGAGTAGGGAAGTGAGGCTGGGCTGAGTGTACAGGGGTGAGAGGGGGTTGGTAAGACCGACACAGAATGAGAATGAAATGAATGCACGTGTGTGTGTTGGGTGGGAAGGGTTGCGATTTCTATTTTTTATTCTTTATGTTGCAGACTTGTTTAAATTTAAAAAATTCAATGTTTCGGGCTGGCCCCGCGGCCGAGTGGTTAAGTTCGCGCGCTCCGCTGCAGGCGGCCCAGTGTTTCGTTAGTTCGAATCCTGGGCGCGGACATGGCACTGCTCATCAGACCACGCTGAGGCAGCGTCCCACATGCCACAACTAGAAGAACCCACAACGAAGAATACACAACTATGTACCGGGGGGCTTTGGGGAGAAAAAGGAAAAAATAAAATCTTTAAAAAAAAAAAAATTAAAAAAAAAAATTCAATGTTTCATAACACATGCATTTATATATTACTTGAGCAAGTACATAAATACTAAACTTCTATCACGTTTCTATTGCTATCCAAGCCTCTGCTGGCTAACTGATCAGAGATTTATTTAACTACCTGTGGATGCATAATAAGGTTCTCTATCACGAACAGGTAATATGGGGAAAGAGCCACCTTCACAATCTGAAAACAAAACGAAACAAAAACTCCATAGGAAACAAAATTTTAAAAACAGTTTTGGAATCCACGCGGCTTACTTGTGGGTTGACATCCAAAATGCAAGTTCGTCCAGTTTGGACAACTTCAAGGATAGAATCAATCTTGGTGCCATAGAGATTTCCTTCATATTCCCCATGTTCCAAATATTTTCCAGCTTTAATATCTGCTTCCATCTCAGATCGTGACACAAATTTATATGCTTGGCCATCTTTTTCATCTTCCCTTGGTTTCCGTGAAGTAACTAAGTAAAATAATGTTGAGAATTGTATAAAGAGAGTGCAGGGTATTAAAAAATAGACTAAAATGCACAGGGTAGCTTGAGACTTTTCTATTTAGTGCAGGGGTTGGCAAAATCATGGCTTCTGGCCAAATCTGGCCTGCTTCCTATGTTTGTATGAAGTTTTACTGGACCACAGCTATGCTCATTTGCTGTGTCGCCTAGAGTGGCACTCGTTTACAATGGAGTAGTTGTGATAGAGACCAGATGGCCTGCAAAGCCTAAAATATTTACTACATGGCCCCTGAATAAAAAAGTCTGCTGACTCCTCATCTATAGGAATGTTATAAGAGGTAGTCCCTAATATACAATTTGTATCAAAAATATGTGCTTTATCAAGTCAGTCCGAAACTCAAAATATATTTACCTAGAAACAGAGTGCTAAATTTAAATGCTTAATTATGGTGAATCCTAGTAAGTGTGAGGTATGTTCCAGTTAACCAGCGCTCCTCTTCTCCTTAGGGAATATCACTTCTATCCTTTCTCTACGCTGTAACGTTTCCTAATTGAGTGCCCAACAAGTGAGCAAAGTTCTCCTATTCTTAGTTGGTATTATCAATTTTCTAAAGTGTAGTTTTACCTACAAATTATCTCTCCTTTATCTTGCCTCAACACCAATCCTTTCCTTTAGCTTCCTGCTTGCTGATATTCGCAAATGTTAACTGTTCTCTTTTGCACCTCAGTGGTGGATCTCGCCACCTCTATGTTATTATGGTCTATTATTAACATCTTCTACTCTGATGTAACATATTCTTTCTGAGAGAATGAGAGTGAACAGACCAAGTCAAAAATTAGAGGTTCATTTTGTCTGTTACTTTAGAGCTCTGAATCCTTTCAGAGATATCCAACTCGTTTACAAGTTGGGTCATGCTAGGAATGGACTATTATCGCCCTTCATACTGTTGCAAAGGTGCAGAGTTAGGTGCCACCTGCCAACGTGTCTACACTAGCTTGGAAGAAGAGAAGTAATTTGTGCGTGTGTGTGTTATTTTCAAATTTAGGCTTAATCTGAGTTTGGCTGGATCAGATATATAAAAGCATTCTACTTCTACTTACAGATGCAGAATACATGACAAAATCATTAAGCACATACAATTAAAATCAGAGAGTAATCAGATCAAAAGTTGACAGTATTTCGACTATTTGTAATAAGCCTAATACATCAAGAAAACCATTATAAGAACAAATGAACTTCAAATTCAAGCTCAATAATAAGGGTCTAATACATAAATGAGATCTTTATGTACAACAGGACTCGCTTTTTCCCCTTGTTTTCCAGCTCAACCTTGACGGTGATCATCGCAGACTACTGTGGAGAGCATTTATAAAATAACTTAAAGATCTTCAAGATGTTATGATGGCTTTTCATATTAAAAAAATGTGTGATCTCTAAGGTTTCTGGAATTATTTACCAAAGGTTATATGATAAAACTTCTAAGGCAATTTTAAACTCCCCAAATACATACTAGGACTTGGCTCAATATCTGTGATCATAATTTTAGAAGAGTACTATTTTTTGGTTAAGCTCTACAGTGAAACCATATATGGGAATGTGCTGCTTGAAATAAATATGTATAGGCACACATATTGCCCCCGTCATCACCTCCAACATGTTGAGGGAATCTTAATTCTTGGAGAAATATTTTTAGTTCACAAGTGAATTTTAACTACAATCTCATTCTCCAGTGAAGACTCAAAAAAAAAAAAAATCTATATTGCCACATATTTAAGCCCCTGTCCATTGCCAGAACAGAGAAATTAGAACAGAGTGGCTTGACTATAACTGATTTCTTAGGTTTATATGCTAAACAACTAAGTAATGTGATTTCTTAGAATTTAACTTTTGTGATTGACAGACAAAATTCTAAATTTCAGCAGCTCTTCAAATAATGAGGAACCACTCAATAAAGTAACATTTTACTTCTTAACTAAGTTCAAGATGTCAATGTTAAAGATGTCATAAGGTAGCTTACCCCCCTAGATTAACAGTTTCTTCTATTTTATTTTAGGATCATTTTACAGTATAAAGAAATTTAAATCAATTTACTACAATGCCAGCATTAACCTCCTTCCCTATGAGGCTTCCCCATCCATTGCACCTTACAACGTGTAGCACAATATTGTATATCAGAAATTAGGCAAACTTGTCATACTTTATCAGTGTTTCTTTTTTGTGTTGATTCTGAGGCTTAAGAAAAAGCTAGATGCTATAAGTATAAATGTGAATGATTTAAAGGGAAGCAAAACACACCTGCATTATATAAAGAAGTGAGAGTTGACTTGTATGGATAAACATAAATCTTTCTATATAAAAATTCAGATTTGAATCGTTACTAAAATTAAAGATCTGTTGAAAGGCAAAAGAGTACATCTTTCTGGAAATTAATTTGGCACTAAGAAATTGAAACATTTATATAAATCCTTTGATCTAATAATTTTACATCTGAGATTTATATATACACACTTTATCATCTCTTATAACAAAAGTAATAACTCAAACCATATAAATGTGCAATAACAGTAATGGTTAAATAAAGCATAGTATACTTACATGCTGGAATACTAAGCAGCTATTAAGATTAAGGATTTTAGTTTTTTTTTATCATGGTAAAATATCCATAACATAAAATTTATCATTTTAACCATTTTTAAGTACACAATTCAGCGGCAAAGTACATACACATTGTTCTGCAGCCATTGCCACTATCCATCTCCAGAACCTTTTCAGCATCCTCAACTGAAACTCTACCCATTAAACAATAACTCTCCAAGGCTCTGGTAACCACTACTCCACTTTCTGTCTCTACGAATGTGACTATTCGAGGTACCTCATATAAATGGAATCATATGCTATCTGTCCTTTCGTGTTTGGCTTACTTCACTCAGCATAACATTTTCAAAGTTCATCCACGTCATAGCATGGATTAGAACTTCCTTCTTTTTGAAGGCTAAATAACACCCATTGTCTGTACATATCACATTTAGTTTATCCATTCATCCACTGAGGGACATGTGAGCTATTTCCACCTTTTAGCTACTGTGAATAACACTGCCACGAACATTCATGGACAAATATCTGAGTCCCCGTTTTCAATTCTTTTGGGTATATACCTAGAAGTTGAATTGCTGGGTCATATGATAATTTTATGTTTAATTTTTTGAGAAACTGCTATACTGTTTTCCACAGTGAGTGTACTACTGACACTCCCACTAGTTAAATATCTCCACATCTTTGCCAATACTTATCTTCTGTTTTGTTCTTTTAAAAATATATTACAACATCCTAAGGAGTATGAAGTGGAGTATCATTTAGGTTTTGATTTGCATTTGCCTAATGAATTAGTGATGCTCAGCATCTCTTTGTGTGCTTATTGGCCATTTGTATCTTCTTTGGAGAAATGTCTACTCAAGTTCTTTGCCCTTTTTTGAATCGAGTTGTTTTTGTTGTGGAGTTGTAGGATTAATATTTACAAAAAAAATGTAATGACTTGTGAGAAAGAGCTCATGATACAATGTTCATTCATTCATTCATCAGATATTTATTGGGTATACACTATATGCCAGATCCTATCCTGGATGCTGGGTCTACAGAAGTGCAAAAGATGGACAAGCTCTCTGTTTTCATGGGACACATTCTTGAACGTGGAGATAGGTGAGTAGTTAAATAACAAAAATTTAGGTGCCAAAACACAACCACTAGGTATTGGGGAGGCTACTTTATTCTTTTTTTTCGAGGAAGGTTAGCCCTGAGCTAACTGCTGCCAATCCTCCTCTTTTCGCTGAGGAAGACTGGCCCTGAGCTAACATCCATGCCCATCTTCCTCTACTTTACATGTGGGATGCCTACCACAGCATGGCTTGCCAAACAGTGCCATGTCCGCACCCGAGATCTGAACCAGCGAACCCCGGGCCACCAAAGCGGAATGTGCACACTTAACTGCTGCGCCACCGGGCCGGCCCCTGGGGAGGCTACTTTAGATTGAATCATCAATAAAGTTCCTCTGAGAAGATGAGACCTGAATAAAAAGTAAATTTCAAGCACGTGATGATCTGGGAGGCAGAGCATTCCAGGACGAGGGACCAACAAGAACAAAAAGGTGTGAATGATAACTCTGAGGAGTTTGAAGAAAAGAAAGATCAGTGTGTTAAGCAGAGGAAAAAATACACAAATTTTATTTGAATAATATAATAATTCTCTAATTAGAAGTTATTTTAATAGTTTTCTTATATTTGTAAACAGAATGTTAAATGAGACTTTTCTTGCAGTCTCACCATTTCCCTCACGTACCAAGTAGGTACTAGCATGCCAAAGATCTAGGGCCTCCTCTTTCAGAGTTTACCGAAAAGTGGTCATCTTGGTCCTTGGATCACCTATCTACCCACGTCTATGCTACGTACACAGAAAAAGGAGTCACTGAGGTAATGAGTCATGGATTCAAGGGGAAATGGTTTATTTTCTTCTTTCCTCACCCCGTGGTAAAACGATTCTCCCTGGAGAATTCTGAAAGCCCATGATGACATTTAGTGGGGTGGCTTGTACTCCCACTGTTTGGCAAAGCAAGAACGAGCTTCCTGTGGGCTGCGTGTGTATATTCAAAAGATAGCCTGGCTTGAACTGTTCTGAAGGTATCCTGCACAGAAAGACAGTATGAAGGGTAGAGAACCAAGCAAAAGAGAACATGAACACGGGATGGGAGCTTGGGGGGCTCTCAAGGAGACAGCTGGAGAACTTAATACCCTTGCTAGGAGATTGCCAAGCATGGAGGTCCCTACAGAGTCTCCAAAGAAGCTGCAAATAGGCCTCATTGAAGAGTCAGTATTTGGACATTTGTGACACAAAGGAGTCCATTCTCCAACAGACAAGATTTTATATGACAGCACTTTATCCCTTTCCCTTGAATCCCCACTTCTTCCTGCCCAGCCCTTGAGAACCCAGAAGCAGCAGAGGAGACGTGAAGGGAGAG